ACCGTTGAAGGTTTTTGTGTGATTTACCACTTTTTAATATGCAATAACCGGTTACTGGTATTGAGTAACCGGTTACGGCTATGTTGGACAGAATTTTTGAAAAACTTGAAAAAATTGAAAAAATCATAACTTTCGCCTTGGGTGTCCGTTTGACGCACTGTTTGGACCGTCGAAAATCTATTTTTTTTTTACAATGTGATAATAATTTTGATAACAGTAGGTGAATACTTTTTGGTTTGGAGACATGTCTCATTTCATGCATCGTTGAGGGCTTATGCTCTGGCCTGTATTGTCAGTTGTTGAGGGCTTATGCTATGGCCTGTATTGGAAATTGTTGAAGGCTTATGCTATGGCCCGTATTGGAAACTTATTAAAGGCTTATGCTCTGGCCTGTGTTGGAAATTATCCAGGGCTTATGTCCTAGCCTTATATGGTAATTTTGGAGAGGGCTTATGCCCTGATGGTACCACATGCATCTTGCATCAGTGTCAGTCACATTGTGTCTGTTGAATTGTTGATATACGATGAAGTTGAGTTGTATGTTTGATTCATGTTGTATGATGGGCGGTGATAATTAAGTATGTATCAGTGTAATCGTTATGAACTATAATTGATGATTGTTGAACCTTGAATCTTGCATGATATATCTGTTTTATACTCATGATTATATAACTTATTATATTATTGTGATATCTCACCCCTTCTGTTTGAATGTTACCTCTATATGAGTAACGTGTAGGTGATTCTCAATATACGAGGTTATCCGTCATTTATTTTCAAGTCGGCATTATGCTCCGATACGTAACACTGGGGGGATGAACGCTTGCTTGTTTATTTTAGTTATTGTTTTATTTTGAAGAATTGTGGGAGTATTATAAACTCTCTTTATTTGATTTAAAACATTGTTTTATGATGAATTGAATATGTTGAAAATAATTATGATTTCGTTCTGTTGTATTAATACAGTTGAAGTATGAAGACTATGTTGAAATGTTGTCGGTTCATCCTAAATATGTGTTATATATCTCTTTAATTACACTTGAGCAAGTTTTAATATGTTAGAAGATGCGACATCCTATTTTTGGTGTTCGATTTAAAAATTAATTTACTCAGATTTTATTTAAATTACCGATGGGGAAATAGGATGTTACAGCAACAGCCTCCAATATCAAAACAACTAAAAAAATATCAAGATTTATAACATTTACTCGTGCAACAACAACTCATAGAGAAGTAAATCATAACACTCACTCACTCAGTGTTATAGATCAAAGCAATGAAATCTAAAAACACATAAAAACGGGGAAAGGAAGAATAACCTTAACACAATCCTTCAGCTCTAACATAGCCACTCATTTACCAACTTATTTGTACTCCAAGAAGGAGCACAGAACACCACAAACAACAAAGGGGTGAGAATATACTCAAAATATATAATGGTGCAAAAGAAATGCAATGGGTAGCCTAAAATAAAGATATCATCTTTGGTACAAACCAATCACATCAATTCACATAACTCGTATATGTTAGACAAAGAAACTCAATTGCATAACAACATTAAAACACTTGTTTGCACAACCCTTATGTACTGCAATGCAGAGAACGACTCAACTCATGCATGTGGTACCAACTCAACAAAGGTTCTTAATTCGAATAAGGTCCCAAAATATGAACCCCAAGCCCCCTCATATGAGTTTTAAGCCCCCCTCATCTGAGCTTGGGACAAGTCACTAGTCCCCCCATATGAACTCGTGACTCGCCTCTTTCACAAAAACAACACATATGATGCATGTCATACAACTCAATGCAACAATAAAAACAATGTTTAAGGCTCATCTTCTGACCATAAACAATCATGCATTGACAACACAATAATAGCCCCATCATCTGAACTATTATCCAACAATCACAACAACTCAATATCCACATAGTAATCAGTGCAACACCACCAAGATTCAACAACAACCATAATTCACACATAGTACACATACCAATATAATTCATCATTTAATCATTCAATAATTGATTCATCGTCACCAATAATTAATATTTTATCACTAATTATCACCAAACAGTAATTCGACATCACCTTAATGTGAAACCAAAACAAAAGTCGAACCAAAAACTCAAATTAAGTCACTGACAAGATGACACCCTTCCTGAGCTCGTGACAACCTGGTCATCACCTAGGTGAAGTCCGTCACCAACTTACACTCAACCTGTCGCCCACCCTGACGACCAGCTTGAGAAAACAAACCTGGGGACCATGGCAGTCTCCCCGTCATGAAGCTGGCGACCTTCAGCGCTTTTGATAACATGACGACCTGGTCGTCAAACGGGTGACAACTGTCACCCTGATTCAGAAGGAAAAATCACATTTTTTTGCCATGGGAGCTCTATCGAAGCTCCAATTTCACCGACTCAACTAACTTCTTGATTATAATAAAGTGGAACTTAATACCTTTTACTTCAAAAAATGAAATAATATAATATATATTGGTTAAATAAACTTATAATTATCTAAAATGTTAAACATCTAATGCTACCACTCCTTATTTTGTTTTTTACCACAAAACAAAAAAGAGTTGTTTATCAAGACCCTTATGCAAAGACAAAGGAACGAAATACTCCATTGAGATAGATTCATCTGTGACCATGCTAACCATAGAACACCCCAAGCCAATTAACATCTTCTCGACTAATAAATTATGTATACATATTGACTAACAATTTTTTATCTAGACTTAGTACATATTTATATCATGTATGATAACAAGTCAAATATCTCTAGAGTCTCACATTCATCCAAGCGAGAGTCAGGCCCTCGTCTACACTATGTTAGACCCCTTTTGGTCCCAATATAACATCTTTCACATTTTCTAAAAATTTGGGAAAGTTCACACATACAACTTTGAGCAACCAAATAGACTGAAGATATGTGTCCTTTGAATCTAACTCTGTTATAGTTTCCCACACATCAATGACGACTTTCTATACTTCAATATGATACTTTTTTATATCATTAGATTTTAGATCTTTCACGTTGACATCTAAATTTCACCTTGCTCAAACATTTTGTGAAATGCGATAAAGACATAGTAGAACAATAGTCTTGGAGAAATCTTTGACAACAACATTCATTACAGCATTGTTCAAACTAAACAAAATTACCCTAAAAGATTTTTTTTTTAAAGATTTCAACAAATCATGACACATATCTAAAGATTAAGTGACACTGTCTTCTTTCTCAGACATCATATAAGAAATTCAATTGAGTAAGTCATCTAAATATAAGTAACACTAATAAATTCAAGCAACACTAAGTGATATGTGTCAGTTTTATAAGTGGAATCCATCATACAAATAGTAAAAAATATTAAACAATTTAATAGAAATAAAATGGGTTAAAAAAATATCTTTAATAATTTCAATATCAACAATCTATAGATATACACATGCTTATACTTAACAAAATATTTCATTAGATGTCACATTTACGATCTTGGACCCCAGAGAGATTGTTTAAATTTGTAACATGCATTATAAACATGTTTGATATCAATTCCATTTCTTTTCTTTAATGTCATAAAAATGTTTCTTGGCGTGATGAAGATATCCACCCTCTATCAAATGTAGTTCTGGTAAAGACAAATATTGACGAAGACTATCAAAAAAGAAAACACTTAAAAAGACATATGATGAATGCTTCCTGTTTGTGAAGCTTAATCAAGTGATGAATCAAGATGTTTGATCATGATTAATATTTATGAAAACAATGATGATCAAAGAAGAAAATATTAAGAATGGATAAATGTTGACCTATGATGAAGCTAATCAAGAGAAGAATCAAACTAATGAACTATGTTTAAAGAATAATTATAATTCATGTTATATAACTTTATATGCTCAAAATATCTCACACATTTTCATCTCTAAAATTCTTTTACCATCATGCATTCAAAACACTCTAGCATTGTCATTAAAAAGCTGATTTTTTATTTTATTTTTCAACTAATGTAATCGCTTATCAACTCATTCTATTTTTCTTAAATTAATGCAGTTTAAATCGTCGTAGTAACACTTTCATAACCACCATAATTATCTGATTTTATGGTAACCTTTTATATGAAGGTTCAGTTGAAAAAATATATTTTCAATTAAGTTGATTCAAAGTTCACCATAGTGTTTGATTTTTGTAAAAAGACTATTCGAACTTGAATTGATAATCTTTTATAGTAGTGTTTGATGTTTGTGTATGTTTTAAAAGATTGTAAAGAAATTTTGGTGTGAAATTTGTAAAAAAAAACTAAAAGCATAGTGAAAAGTTTTTCAAAAAATGAAGAGATTAGATGTACCATTGATAATAAAGAAAATTAATATAATTGTCTCGTGTTATTTATTTTTTCAGCATTTTAATTTTCTGCATTTTATTATCCTAAAAATATAAAAAAAAAATTAATTGCATAAAATAAAATAAAAAATCGAACAACCTTAATTCATCCCGTTTAAGTTGCATATCATATTTACAGTTAAAAGGACCATATTAGAAGGATAAATATGTTGCTTCTTAGAAGTGACAAGCTGAGAAGCAAGATACACCTTTCCAAGAAAGAAAATAAAGGCACGATGAAAATTGAAAGCTACAAAGTACAAACAACCCTGCACGTCGTTACGTTTGCCAGCTCACTGTTCCATTACTTTTTTCCAAAACCTCCTTTCCGTTTCCCTTCCACGTCACGCGTGACGCTAATTCCAACACCAATTTCTACTCTCCCCGTCAAACATGTAACGCTGTTCTTACAAACACCGTTACTTTTCCGTTAGGCCCATCTTCGGCCCATTTCACACTCGTTACTAGTCGCTCTAAGGTCTTCTTCAACACAACGCACTCTTTCTCTCTCTAAAACCATTCTCTCTCTATATAACTCTCTCTTTCTCTGTTTTGTTTTTTTTCTTTTTCAGATTCTGTTTCTTCAAAATATTTCATCTCTCTCGCATTGATGTCGGTAAGTGCTTTTTTCCTTAATCAGTTTTTTTTTTTGTTGCTATACTTTTTAATTTTGCTTGAATGATTTGATTTCTTTTGATAATTGTATTGTGCTGTTGTAGGCGATTCAACAATCTCTGATTTGCGTTTATAAGAGATTTTGATTAATTTATATTTTTCATTTGTGGTTTTGCACTGTGATCCTTGCTCTCTGATTTTTGAATTTAAGGTTCATGAATTTTTTGATGAATAAAGGATTTATATTCTATTTTTTTTTTGTTTGGTTAAGTTTGAAGAAATTCTAATAAAGGATTTGGATATTTAGTTATTTTTCATTGAATTGAGTTGTTTAATTTGGATGTTACTATTTTGGCCTTGATCTCTTTCCTAGAAACTTCTAAGGGGATGTTTAGATAAGCAATTTTAGTTGACACTTATTTCAATAAGCACTTACTGTTTAAGTGCTTATGTGTATGCTTTTTCTATTATAAGAAAAAATGACAGTATATTAGGGAGGTTAGTAAAATAAGCTGAAAATAGCTTATAGTTGTTTTTATAAGCTTTGCAAACACTTATATAAGTGTTAATGCCATAAGATAAGCTCAAATAAGCTATCTCAAACACCTCTTAATTCTATTATTAGTATCATATTCTTTTTATTCCTTTTATGCGGGGATTGAAATCACAGAACTCTTGGGTGTCCTGTTCAAGTTCATCCTGCCCTTTTCTGAATTGCTGCCTCATGCTTCAGTGGTGTCTCTCGGGTTATAGTATATGTAGTATGAACATTAGTTATTGTTGCTTAAACAAGTCAATTTGAATTGAACAAGCACTTTTTTCAGAATATCTATTTTATTCGGTAGGGAAACTAGCCGTGGAGGGAGGGAGCGAATAACTGGAAAATAAGTGTCAGTGAAAAGGGAGCAAGGTTGTCAAGATCAGAATCTTGCATAAGATATGGATCTTGCATAAGACCAGGAGGGGATAGTAAGATCGTAACTAAGATCAGAAGATTCTACGCAATTAGTTTTTTATTAGAGCGGGAGGGGGTAGCAAGATTTTAAAACATACGATCGTAAGATATTACTAAAACAAAAAATGATACTATATATTTAAAGTTTTTTACATGATATTATTATTTTGGTAGGCAAGTGTATTAGTGGGAAAGTAGCCTCTGCCGAATTGTAATTGTTGCGCCTCGGCATCTTGTCATCCTTCTCCGCTTGTAATGGTTGTAATCAGAAAACTGTCGATTGTGGCCGGAACTGGCCAAGATTGCACATAATCAGTGGTTTTATGATTTTTTTTCCCACAATTTGACTACAAAACCATGATTCTACTTAAGATTGGAATTGCTGGGGAAAATGGGAAACTGGAAATGTGGAATCACAAAATCGTAAGATTTTAAAATGTAGATCGTGATTTCGACAACCTTGCTAATAGCTGGTAAACTGCACAACGTTACAGGGTATTATCTCGTTTGTTCTTCCCAAATATTTGAAGTGGTACGGAAGTTGTTCCATTTTCCAAACTGTCAGGAGTGGACTGCTCCAACATTCTAATAGATACCAGTGTGTCTAAACCATTTAGGATTGAAGGACTACTAGTCTCAGTATGGAAACCCAAAAGCCAATAGAAAATATGAGAACTTTGTATGTTTTGTGAATATGCTAGAAATGATTTATGATTTTAATTATTGTATGAAGTAGCATACTCCAACACCAATTAATGACTTGACCTAGATGCTGGGTAGTTTTGGTTCTGTGTTTATGAGATGACCCTGACCGGTTCTTAATGTCGAAAACACTCTGGGTATCTTCAAAATTACTGGGTCATGTAGGCGAGGCTGTGGATCTACAACGTGCAATTTTGTGGATCGTGAAGCTCGAGCAGGGATAAGGTGATATTTGAAGTGGGCCTAAAACAGCTTATTGAATGCTAGTTGTAAGAACTCAGCTGTTGAATCTGCTAGGAAGAAAGCTAGTGTGGTTGCTCATACTTTAGTAGGGGTGACCACATCAACAACTAATCCTCATTTTATTAATTCTCTACCCAGATGTATTTAGCATATTATCATTGATAAAATTAAGTTGTTATATTTTCTTATAACAAAGTAATGACTTGACCTTTGAGGAGTCTTGGAGTTTGAATAAACAAAAGGGGTTGGGAATTGGAAACAAGTTACTTGTTGGAGATCAAATAAGAATTTAGATGGTATCTTACACAAGCATACCCAGAAGAATCCAAAGAAGCATTTCTATGGTCACATGGATTTTGGGTTCTATTTTAACACTAACTATTGCGTTGCGTCTAACTAAAACACACAATTTTTCTGTGTTATGTTTGGTCTTCGTTCTTTTATGCTTAATGGTATCTTGCACTAAAGTTTATGATTACTAAATTCATAAGCATAATAATGAATTTTTAAGAGTTTTGTGTTTTTCTTTTACATAAGCTAATGTGATGTGATTAACTTACAGGAAAAGGGTCGCCCACTACCCAAATTCGGTGAATGGGATGTCAATGATCCAGCCTCAGCTGAGGGGTTCACAGTCATTTTTAATAAGGCAAGAGATGAGAAAAAGACAGGTGGCAATACAGAGTCACCTGGAAAGACTGCCACTGAACCTCAAAGCAAACCTGCATCAGATCCCGGCAAACCTCAGAGTGTAAGATGCTTTTTAGTATATACATATATAAAACTCACACATACTACTGTTTGTTATATAAAACGCATTTGGAAAAACTGATTAGTTAAGCACTTCCATAATTTATCGTGGAAATCTTATTGAAATAAGCTGAAAATAACTTATGCTCATGTGATGAGGAAAATTTTAAATGTATCCATTTTCAAACACTAACATAAGCATTTACCTTTTTCTTTTAAAGTGTATGATGCATTTACCTTTTTCTTATGGGTGGATTTTACTTGGTTTCCAGAAAAAATGGTTTTGCTGCATACAAAACCCTCCTGCAGAATCATAACAATGCGGTTCAGGTGAAAGAGAACATCGATGTTTATGTGTAACTAGCTCCAGAGTATTTTCTAAAAGATAGGAGCTGTAAAAGTGAGCTGCAATGGGGGAAAGGAAAGAAGAGAAAGTATTATTTATATATGTGTATCAGTGTTGTGGTTTATGATTAGGATTCAAGGTTCTTGCTTTGCCTTGTATTATGAGCTAGAGCGTTGCTTGTCACACTGTACTCCTTGTATTATCAAACTAGTCCTATTTTATTGATGCATTTTATTCCTTTGATTTTATTGCTCATACTATGCTTGCAATTTGGCACGTTCGGAAGAAGAAACTTGTTTTTGGAGGGTAGCAATGTAAATTGGAGTTAGGTAATAAAATTGATTTAATTTAGATTGGGAAAACAAGCAAATTATATCCCTATGGACTTTGATTTCTATGAAAGCTTAACGAAAATTCCGTGATTATAAAATGAGGTGTTTAGGTTTGTCTACCAAGTTTAGATTAAAAATATTGTTGGATAATAATTTACTTATGAAGCAATGAAAATTTTATATAAGATCTATTATTATTAAAATCATCTGGACAAAATTTATTGTTTGTATAAAATTTTATAAGTATATACAATATAGTTTGGACAAACTTTTATAAGTATATAAAATAATTGTTAAATTATGAAAGTTTATGAAGTATTTCGTTTAAGTTAAATTAATTGTTTTGAAATAATATTTAAAATTAAAGAATTTAAAATTACATCAAACTCTAGAATGTGAATGTCAAATTAAATGTTATTATTATTATTTTAAATTTTGCAAATTGATATTCATGTTTTCCAAATTTCATATATCAACTCTTAAAATTTTTCAAAAATTGCTAATTAATCATTAATAATTTTAAATTTTATAAATTGATTCTTTTAAATTTTTAATACAACTTAGTCCATATTTTTTAAATATTTGAATTTGAACTGATTTTTAAAATTTATAAAAATAATAAAGAAATTTAACTATGAATAACTATAATATTCTATCCAAACAAAATAATTTAAAAATAAATAAATTTTAATTGAATCATTGTTTGAAATTTTAAATTTAAAAAAAAATCAATTACCTCTTTCAAATACACTCTTAGTTATTATGCAATAAACTTTTGCATGGTTAAAATTATGCCACTTCACTTGAATAATAATTGTGAGGTTTCTATTTATAATTGTTGAACCCCCCATCATTAGTGTTTTCACTTCTTTCTTCAATACCTCCTAAATCACAAACTTTATCCTAAAAAATAATCATCGTATCTCATCATATTTTATAGCGAGGCCGTAGTTTTTGGTGTAACTTAAAAAGCGAGTAGTATATTGTGTCGTCGATAATTCACAAGTAGTGAATAATTATCGTATATAAGATATTGACATCATTCACACGAGACAACAGAAGTCATAATTAAGTTTAAGAATGCAAATGACATAATGAAAATTAAGGGTATGCATAACCTATTGAATCGGATTGTAAACGATAGTAAAAGTGTATAAAAAGAAACTAAACATGTATATGTTATAATAAAAAAAGTGAATCGACTCCCCTTTAAAATCTTTGTCTTTTTTTTTTTAACGTGAGAACCCGTGTGAATTCACAACGGTTTTTATGAATATTGTCATATCATAATTTTTATTCTTAAGATTTCACTTATCATAATATTATATTTCATCAAGATCACAAATTTGATAACCTCCTAACTTTTGGTCTTTGAGTTTGTTGTGTTAGAGATCATCAAGCACCTAGGTGTTTTCTCGTATCTTTGTGTTTACTTGCTTTTATGTTTTACTAACCCTATTCAAATACAAAAAACATGTTTTGTTCCTTTTCTTATTTTACAAGGTAGGACTTTGAATCAAAAGATCAAGATGGCTTATAAATTAGGGTTTTGATCCCCTAAGTCAAAGTCAAGATCAATAAGTGGTCAACAAGAGTTATTATTCAAGGCATGGCCTATATATAATCTTAGTTCACATTCATGTCAAGCCTCATTCAACACCAATTGACCAAAAGAAGTTCAAGTTTGGTGCTTGGTTTTCAAGTTAATTCAAGATAGGTTCATGTGTTTATCTACATGCATTATTCATCTTTTTTCTCAAGGTTTCATCAAAGTTAATCAAGATTCTATCAAGGATACTTCATTTGGAGTTCATATGATCATCAATGTGCCTTGAAATGCAATAAAACATAAACAATGACAAGTTGGAGTATTGTGGTTTGGCCTAAAATCAATTATGACATGTCATTTGGTCCAAACACCATAACCTTCCTAATTCTCAATATTTTTGGGCGCTTCTTTAAGTCAAATGTCTCTTTTGATATCCTCCAAAACTTTGTTTCAGAGGTCAAATATCATATCAAGCTCTAAGCCCCTCAAATGTTGGAGGCCATTTGTGTACAAACCTAGGTCATGACCTGTTTGACCTAATGCCAGACCTATTTTTCAGTGCCACGACCCCAACTTTCAACTTATGCCAATTTCACATCAAGCATCCTTTTGAAGTGGTTCTTTTTTCATTGTGTTCTTCTCTATGAAAGGATCATTTGATGAAAAGAAAATCAAGAAATAAACAAGTAGATTCTATTTGGCCGAAGCTTGAACATGGCACCTTAAACTCTGCTCAACCTATAATTGGAAATGACCAAAAACTCAACTTGGGGACCACCACACATGTGTAACTTATTTGTTGTTGCTAAACACATCCCACTGAGTGCAAAACGACTCATTTTAAGGCTTGAGTCGTGCTTTCTACTCTTGCTTCACGCGGTTTTGCAAATTAGAATATTCTAGATGGATTCACACGTTTAGGATCTCTTTCTCACACGTACATGAGCTCATTCATTCTCCTATAAATAGAGCAAGCTTCTACTCTCATTTCCAAGCAATGAGAGCCTCTGAAACGCGGCTGAAATCCAAACCTGATACCTCAAAAACCAGAAAAATGAACTTCCATTTTTGGTTTATTTCAACTTTAATTCTCCACCCAAAATTCGCCATCGACATCATCTGAAGCTACCTGAAGCATTACAGAAGCTTGTCGTGACCTCTAAGTACCAACTCGATTCCTCTATTTTCATACCTCTGAAGCTTACTTGGGAAAAGTAGATACGAGTTCCTATTTCACTCAAACGAGTTACCATCTTCTTCGTTTTGCTTCACTGAACAAAATCTCTAACTCCACTGAAATTTATTATTTATATTTGACATTTAATTTTACTTTGAATAAATTGATCCTTTGAATTTTACTTTGTTTATACTTTGAATTTATTGTTAGTTTTTTTTGTGCATTTTTCTGTAATTTCTTCTTGCTCAGATCAAATAAATTGATCTGAAGCAATAAGCATGAACGGTGTTTGGTGAAGCTAAAACATGCCTTGTTTAAGCTTAAATCCAAGAGTTCATGATCTGCAAAACCCTTGTTGAAGGTTGAAGACAAAGTGGAGTTCGCGTGTTACCGTGGGAAATTCAAACCCATCGTCCAATCACGCGTTGACACCTAGCTAGTCGTTGAGGTTTTTAATTTCTTTTTATTTTTAAATCATTTTTAAATAATTTTTAATTCCTTTTTATTTCAAAAATATTTAAAAATAACTCCTAAATAATTTTTTACTCCAACATTTTTCATAATTTTCTAAAAATATTTCTACCTCTTGTGATTTTTTTCTTCAGAATTTTAAAATGAGTTTTAGAATTTTTTGCTATTTTATTTTGTTTTCTATTTTAATTGATTTTAAACATTTTTTCTCCATCATTTCCAAATATTTTAGATCCAAACTTTTGGGATATTGATCCTTGGAGTTTTTTTTACTCTCCATAATTTTCTTGAACATTTATTTGATGCTTTAGTGCATCATTTGAATTTTCCTTTTATTTTTCATTTTAAAACCATTTTAAACCATTTTAATTTCATTTTAATTGATTTTCTCCAACTAATTTTGGTTTGATTTCTGATTAACTTGGATCATGGCTTGATTGATCAATGCTTCATTAAGAACAATGGACTTTGGGTGATGCTTTGGTTGTATGAACCTTCATTATTTTAAAATTATCATTAAATGATCATTTGAATCATTTTTGGTACTTTGGATTGATGATAGGTTTATCTCATTCTGCCATCAAGAGAGGTGATTGAAATTTATGATAGATGATCTCATGTTGTGTTTGTTTTGGTTTGAACAATCTTTCTCTCCTCATCGCTTTCTTCTTTTTGATTTTGTTTTAACACTATATTACATGTTTTAGGAGAATGACTTGTGTCATTTCTCTAACATGTATGACACATAAATTGCTATTGACCGACTGTCGCGTCACGAAAATACAGAGTCGCCACCAAACTCTATTTATCCCGAAGGAAGGGAAGATATCGAGAGAACCCCAAAGAAATGGATAAGATGGTCTTGTAACCAAAAGAACCGATAAGAAAGTCGGTTACACGAGGGTGAGGTATTAGCACCCCACACGTCTGTGGTACCCTATAGGATCCACTCCCGTTTGTTCTCATTTAAGGGTGTGTGAAAATCTTTGTCTAAGGCTTATTGCTAAAAAGGGAATGCATGCGAAAGAAAATACGGGGAAAAGAAGGAATATTTGTAAAATTTCGCTCGCCTAGGCCCTACAGCCTAGTGTCAACGTACTCCCTCGTGTAATGGGAAAGTCAGAGCATTGTAGTTCGGCTCACATGTTTTGGTTGGTTTTGTGTTTTTTAATGGAACAATGTTAAGCTTCACATTCTACCGCGACTTGACCTTTGGAGGCTCACACGTCTGTAGTAGAAAGGAACTAACATATTCATACCAGACAAGGTATAAAAAAAATGCCTGAAGGCGGATAATGCTTCGTTCGTGACTCTTTGGCGAGTAGACATGGTGCAACTCGACCTTTGTGTATTTCCACGTCGTATCGCCTAGAGTAGAAGTAACACATCATTTTTGAGAGTTTCGATGAAAGGCCCAAAGGCGAAAAGAGTTTGGATTGGTT